GCGCCAGTTGTTTGTTGCCGTTATTTAGTTCGAAAGGTTAATTCGCTGAATGTGATGGATGTCATATGCGGCTCGGTCGTGCTCTCTCCGGGCATCAGTGAGTCTCCAGCCTCCCGCACAAGCGGAGCAGAAAACCAGCTAGCCCCGGTGCTAACAGGAGCTGCTGCGGTACACAACCGCCCTGCTCTGCTTGACGCCGCGACCGGTACCGTTATCCACACAGTGAGCACACGGCCCCGGTACGTTCAGGTGGAGCGAGGACACAGAGAAATCAACGAGCAGACATGAATCGTGTTAGAAAAGGAGCGGAACCTACCATGGCTGCAGAGAGGCTGGTCAGCGCCGGGACAGAAACTGAATGGACTGTGACGCTCAACTGGGGCTCGCGCTCACAGAATACGTGACGCGAACGCGCCTTTAAGCGCGACCCCAGCTCGATCGAGGTGCACGAGCGGGAGCGCCCGTCTGCTAAGCATGAGCACGCGGCTGTTTTTATTTCCTGCTTTGTTTATTATTAATCAGCCGAGAATGTGATCGGATCAACAAGAAAGTGCAGCTCAATACACACACAGTACACACGCTGTGATCATGAACCACGTGTTAGATCCCAGTATATCAGTAAAACTATTAAACGTCCCTGACTTCCGTGTGAGGGGGAAGATTTCACCTCATAATTTAACTTCTGTATTCACTACTTCTTCTCTAATACCCTAATATATATTCTATATACCCTAATACTTGAATCACATTTACATTACAGATTATTATAGGAATATGTTTGTGTAGGATGGTAAAACAAATCAACAATCCCAAATAATGTTATGTTTAGTATAATGTACTCGTTTATTGATTGTTACACACTAAAACAAAGTATATCTGTGTAGAAAAGTAAATCTATATGACTGCAGCCATGTTGAATACGTGCCGTTAATTACTGCACCGATGGCGTGAGGGCTGATTAATAAGTAAAGCGTCGGTGCTGGTGTGACCGACATTCAGCTGACTGCCCGGCGCAGAGAGGGTTTCAATGGGGGGAGGAGAAGCTCCGCCATGTCTCCTCTCTTCCTCCCTCCCTCCCTTTTCTCTCTCTCTCTCTCCCTCCCTCCTCTCTCTCTCTCTCCCTCCCTCCCCTGCGGTTTTTGTTGAACTCACTTCCAAATATGGAAGTGAACGGTGAGCGGTGGCGGCCAGTGAACGCGCCTCGCTCCCAGCGCGAGGAGGGGTCGGGCCGCGACGCTGATCACCATATAAGGAAACAAGGGACACGAAATTCACTATAGCAGATTTTTAGAGAGAGAGAGAGACAGAGAGAGTGTGTGTGTGAGTGAGAGAGAGAGAGAGAGACTTCAGGCAGAGGGAGGAGAAGAGGAGGAGGAGGAAGAGGAGAGGAGCTGAATCCACATTTCTACGCGAGATGCCATGATGCTGATGAAGCACGCGCACACACGCGCGCGCACACAGCTGATTCGCAGGCAGAGCTGAATTTTGGGGGGTGGGACATGTGACTGCATCACAGCCTTTATGGTTGTAAACACAAAGCATGAGATGTATGACCTACATTCTTTATGACCCGGGATCAGTCAGTTTGTATCCAACCAAAATACGTCTCTACTCTATGCAGCCTAGAATCGGTTCTTATTATTTTACACTAGTGAACCTGCTGTGAACGAGCCTGTTTACTGTGGAAACGCTCCGACTCCTGAATCATTTCTTGTCCTTTACAGTCAGCCCTCCTCAAACAGTCCTACACTGTGCTGTCACTGTCCTCAGCTGCCCGATACAACGGTCTACATAGATCACAGCTCGTCCAAAACAAGCAAGCAGCCAAACTGCGATGTTAGAAATGATTTGAAGATGGACCTGAGTACATTTCAGATCTTTTGACACCACATATGCTCGGTTGCAAAGGGCCTATACTCACCATTCCACAGTCCCTAAGAACCAGGGTGACAAGGCCTTTTCTGTCAGGGCTCCCTCTCTTTGGAACAATCTCCCTGAGGAGATCTGTCGATCTAGTCCTCTTTTAAATCTCTCTTCAATTCACATTTGATAGATGTGCTTTCTCCTAGTTCAGATATTTTGATTTGAAATCATCTTTTTAAAGTTTTATTTGATATTTCTTTTAAGAAGGGGGCTCTCATCTGTGACATTTTGTGTTTCTGTATCTGTGCTCTATGGCTGGGATCTTTTAAAAGGTGCTATATAAATGATGTTTACTATTATTACTTTTTATTGCTCATGTACTGGACTTTGTGTGCAGAGCTTTTTTATAAACAGTCTGTGCTGCAGAGTGAAGTTGGAAAACTCCTCGTGTCTGGTTTATCTGCAGTGTATAGTCAATATTTTTCATAAAATCAACCTGAATTTCTTTTTGGGAGAATTAACCAAACAAGAATTAAAGGTACAGTGTGTAGAATTTCTGATATCTAGTGTTGAAATTGCATGTTGCAGCTGAACACCCCTCACCTCACTCTCTCCTTCCAAACATGAAAAAGAAAGGTAGCCTTTAATTGTCATAAAAACTCAAAAGGTGTTTAGTTTGTTCAGTCTGGACTAATGTAGAAAACATGGCGAGAGAGGGTCCCCTCAATGTAAATATAAAGAATTTAAATATAAAGGGCCTTTTCTGGGGTAAAGAAAACTACAATTCATACAATTAGGATGAAATGAACTAGTGAAAACATCATGAGGATTATTCTCCATTAAATTTCTGCCAATAGATCCCTTTCACCTAAATCTTACACACTGGACCTTTAAAAGATTTACATAATTTCTTTGGTTCAATCTACACTCGTTCATTTTGATCTGATCAACTTCCTATTGCCTATTTTGATGACCTTTTAGTCTGATGGTGCAGATCGAAAGAGGAACTGTACAATCCAATGTCACAATGAAAGAAACTTTTAGTGCAAGAGTGTTAAACAGGTCATCACATTGCTTTGCCACACAGGAAGTGTTTCTAGTAGTGAACCATCTGGTAGGTCTGGGCGGTCTAAGACCTCAGAAGAGCCCACATCTTCCTTTCACTGTTCCACAACCCAAGAAGTAAAGATAATGGAGGGTCAACCTTTGTGTGACTGTAAGTGGATTTCATTCCTGGTGCCACTAAATAAAAACAGTCACTGAGTAGAGCACCTACCTCCACCAGGGACCAACAGTGACACCACATTTCATTTACTAGATCTGGATTTTAATTTGGATCAGCTCAAAATTGCACAAACTCATAAACATCAGTCCCCTTCACATGCAGGGTTGTTTTTCATCAAGATCCATTGTCCAGTAGTCCAGCTAACTAACACACACATGCAGACAAAACATAACCTCCTGAGTGGAGGTAATAAATAGAATTACTGCCTCTCAGTTGTACAACACAAGCAGCTAGTAAAGTCTATATCTATATCTGTATTCATGCAGTAATTTCATTTTGACCATTAAATGGGAGCTGTTCCTCGTCTGAGCTGAGGGTCTAAGGACAGAGGAATTTGTTTGCTGTGATTGTGGAGCCCCTTGAGGCAAATTTTTGACTTGTTATATAGGGATATATAAATAAAACAGATTTGCCTTGATTCTGTTAAGCTTTGCTGACAGACTCTGTTCCGTCTATTGTATTAGTGTGTAAGTTCATCGAGTGAAAGAAAAACAGTCAAATTCCTCGTACGTGTCCACATGCTTGGCCAATGAAGCTGTTTTCTGATAGAACACAAAGTTGTAGCCAGGCAGTAGAAAACGCTTCAAATAGGGAGGTTGCTGCACAAAAGCTACAAATTAAAATACACATATATTCATCACAGGAGATCTTTACAATCACCGCAGTTTAAAGGTCAACACCAAATATTAGTGTCACCAATTCAGTATCAGACCAGAGGTGAAATATGGTCACAATCTATCGTTTCTCAGTTACAGCACTGAATTGTGACCAGAGAAGTGTTTCTTACAGAACATTATGATGTCACTGTAGATTTTTGGCCTTCTGAGAAATAAAAATGTCATTATTTTAGATTTTTTTGTGAAATTGTTTGTGAAGATTAAAGTGAAAATACCAGACAGGTCGCCAAAAAACTTGGTGGATGTGGAATGGGTCAGGGAAGAGCCCATTCCATTTTGGTGGGGCTGTGGACCAAGTAGAGGATCCAGGAATATATATACCACTTTCTTTCATCGTTTCCCAGGAAATAAATTATGGATCTTGATGAAATGAAAATGAATTCAGGCAAGGGATTGATATCTATGGGTTTGTACAATTCGGTACAGCTTGATTGAATTTAAGTGGACTGTTAAGGCTTGGAAGAGAGTATGCGCTCTATTGTTTACTGCTTTGTGACCTTTGACCGCAAAAATCGAATCATTTAAACATAAGTACAAATCTGTGGAGATTTCCTCCAGGTGTCCCTGACATGAGCCTGAGATCACGAGAACCAGAACCTGAAAACATAATCCCTCCTTCTGCAGGTGAATTAATGTTTTAGAATAATGCATTGACACAGTGTTAGTGTTTCTCACATCAAGGACACCATACTCCTGCAAGAAATGATGACAATGGCAGTTGCTACAACATAGCACACATTTATTTATTTTGGAATGAGAAGAGTGCAAACTGCACCAAAGAGAAGGATAAGTGCAATAGTATGTGCTTGTAAAACATCTTGAAGATTCCTCCTCTTTTGGAAAGGGAACAGCCGTGAAATGTGCAAAATGATGGAGGACAATCAAGGACTGAGAATTTCTACATTTCTCATCTTCCATATTTTTATCGATCACGTTTGGCTCTGACTTAGATCTACAATAACACGGAATAACAGAGTGTTTGATAAACACCAATAAGCTTTTTGCGCCTCCGTTGTGTGTGCGAGCACAGAAAATATACAGGTGGTTGAGGATCACCAAAAAATTTAATTATTACCATTTTTACATTGAGTCCTTTAATCCGATGCCTGACTCATTCTCAGTTGGCCTGAGACGCTGTTTGGCCTCACAATGGAAAACTAATAAATCCACTGAGCAGTCGACCTTCTTAATTCTCTGCATGACTGCGTTTTTGACCGATTAGTTATAAGGCTGCATGTAAACAACTAACTCAGAAACAAAGTCATCCAACTCTCATTTTTCTTCCTCTCCTGTAATATGCTTTGATTAACTGTTGCGTAACTTTTCCTGTCAGCCGCTTGGAGCAGAGCTTTGACCTGAGCGTGCGATGGCTTCAGCTTTTTTTTTTATTACTGAAAACAAGTTTCAGCCCGAAAAAGTTTAGAAATAGTTGAAATATCCCATTTACCTGAGGCCAGATCAACGATGTGAACTTCATACATCACAGTGTTTTGTCACGCTGGAGCTGACAGCACAGGCCGCTAAGGAAAGATTTTTTACAGCAGACATACAAACGGCTGTGTATGGAGGACTCCACACAGTCTCATTTACAGGAATGCTCCGCTGCTTGTTTATGTTTTGTTCTATTTTTATATTCTGCTTGTTATTTGTAACATGGATGTTCAACACTTGTAGTGTTTGACAAAATGTCACAAAGTGTTCTTCAACTGTGTTCATTGTTATCAGTGCAATTTGAGGCCCCAGTATTTTAATTTAAACATTTAAAGCTCTCCTTTCTTTGGCGGACTGGTTGTATTGGGCGATCAACACCTTTGAATATTACATTAGTGTCTTATTTATTTTGTTTTGCAGAATATTAGTTCCTATATAGTTTTTTAAAAGTAGAATCTAGAATAAAGTATCAAAATCTACAAAGTGCATGTTTCCATCAAAGAGGAAACAGCAAAGCACTTAACTCAAACTGAATTCCCCAAAACGTGCAGCGTCCAAAATCTGCTATGCTAAATACAAAGTGCGTAACCTCTTCCCTCTCTACATAGCGACAGTTCACCTGTCTCTTAATGCTAATTTATATCAAACAAGCTGCAACTCTATAAACTGAATGGAATGTCTTATGGCCAATAAGAGAAAAAAATATAGCATAAAAAAAAAAAGTATAAATGTAGAAGCTTTAAAGCCAGCATTTGTAAAGATTCTTATTTAAAGATATAATGCAAAAGCTTTGTTTGAGAAGCACCCTGACGACTACGGTGGCTGAGAGGTGTCATGCAGGCACTTCAACAGGAAACAACCATACCTGAGACACCTGACGGAAACACAATCAGTGACAACGGACATGTTGACAATGAAACAAGCAGAGTAACTTTCCGGTTAAATCTTTTTTTCTTGTTGTGGCCGAGTAAGCTCTCGTGTGTGAAAACCCGGTCAAGCCAGTCACTACTTGTGACGCTTGTTTATTTGAGTGACCGATAAGCATCGCATTTTAAGTGGCAACTGACTTGTAACTCTGCTGCATTCACCTTTGTTGTGATTGTGTTTCCATGTGTGACTTTTGTAGTTGTGTTGTCACTTTTGCTTTCATGTTTTCTGTTAATGTGCTAGTGTGACACGTCTGGGCCCGTGTAGTCGACCCCTGTCTGAACAACATACAGCCATGTAAGACGTGTTCAGCTGAATTAAGTGTCTTTCTTTAGTTTTCAAAGTAAACATTGACTCGTCTGTTAAGAAACTGGAACAATGACCCGCCTCCCTCAGTGAATCCAGTCACCATTCTATGAGCAATTCTGCATAATAGAGATGCTGGTGTATTGGCATCATATCTGAACCCTGTGCCGATGTGCTTTAGCTGCATGTTTGTTACAGTGGGTGGAATGATAAGGCTTTACTGTTGAATGCGTGCGCTTGTGTCGTGTGCTGGTGGCATTGCATCGAAATCATGAGGGTGCAGAGGTCTTCTATCTGGATTTCTTCGCATCGACAGGACTCATCCCCCTCGTCTTGTTCAATACCATGGTCGCCTGAAAACAGAGGGATAAAAACAGTGAGGACACTTTTCTGAGACCTCACAGTTCTGTTTCACACATTTTTAACCCCGTCAGCAAGAGAGTGGTCAATCGATCCAAACCACTTCTGGTTTTGTGGAAGCTTTTAACGAGAAACTGAGAATTTATACTCTTGTCATCGTTTTCTGGTTGTGATCTCTGTGGGCTGTGGGAATAAGAAATCAGAAAACGCTCTCCTCCACATCTACTTCCACCTTATAGGTTGCAAGCTGGCAAAGTTTTGGATAGTCAACAAACGTATCTTTGTGGTGTTGAGAATTAACAGTTTAACTGACCGTGATCGCCTCCATACATGAAAGGTTCCACTGAAACAAGTTCACTCCTGACACTACTTTTAAGGGGCATCATCATGGGCCAAAGTGACACTGATGTGTTTGAACTGAAATCTACATCTGCTCACATCATATTTTTGAATGTCATTCAGAGAAAATTCATTAACTTATTTCATTTATGTGTGGCTTATGTTTTTGACAGGTGGTTAAAAGACTAGAATTTGTTTTATTCTGTTGCTGTTGTAGCTGAATGTTGTTTTGAGGATCTATCGAGCATTGATAGCTCCCTCTAGTGGCTATAATGGGTGCATGCATTGAAACACATTTTCCTACAGTGACATAAAGTGAAAGCTGTGACAGCCGGACAGACAGATTCAAACACACGCTTTCCTCCAGCCTCATTCCTCTCACCTGCTCCAGAACAACACCTGCAGCCTGGTCGATGGTTCCGCCCACATTCCGGTACCGACCAGAGTAGCGGATGAAGGCCCACGTCAGCATGGACATCATGACCACGCCCAGAGTACAGTCACACACCAAGGCGAAGGTAGACAGGCCAACAAAGAGTAACACACCCGACACCACGTAGAGGAGGCACACCAGGACAAACAGCACTGCAGGCGTCCGGAAGGCACTGAAGAGATTTTTTGACTTTTACAACAAAGAGAAACAGACAATGAGAAACACTTCTGTCATATTAATGGAAAAAGCAACAATGTGTATTCGTAGTTGTGTAAAATTCAAAAGTTTGAGTCTGAACTTTTTATAATATATTTTTTTAAAGAAAAATCTAAAATAAATCAAGGTTAAAAGTTATGTTTTGAAATCGTCCTCTACCTCATTTTGTTTGCAGTAAGACTGCCACATTTGCTCCAGCTCATTTTCAAGCTGCGCCTGGTATTGATCACAGAACTCCTGTCCGCCCATTTTCTTAGTGGATGAGAAGGAGTGAAGAGCCTCTCGCAAGTTAAAGAGATGCTTTTCCTCCAGAGGCTCAGGAGCCATGTAGGGCAGGTCTCCCCCACACACCTTAGAAATGACAAAGAGGAAAGTGACAAATGATGATGTGATCATGATTTTCAAGCTATTTTCAATTATTTTTTTACACTAAAATGTTTGATGTATTGTCTTTAATGTCTTTGTGAACTCACCTTCTCCATGCTCTTGTAATACTGTTCTTTGGCTGTGGCTACAGCTGCCAGGTTGTTGGCCTCTGCTGTCGCCTGGTGAGACAAACAGGGAAATGTTTAACAAACTGGAGTGGAAACACAAAACACAAGTCAAAACTCACCCCAGTGCTGGTGAGTATGTTAATCCCGAACATACCATGAGCATCGTCTTTGGCTGTGGTAAATCTTCACCCTGGTATATCTTGATGTAAGCCTGGTAAGACAAGAAATATACAATCAATTAAGTCAAAGTGTAGAAAACTGATTAAGGTTGAGCGGGAACACTTGGATGAAGATGATGTCACCTTGAAGAACTCGAGCAGGCCCATGCAGGTGACCTTGTTTCCGTTTATCTCTTTCTCAGCCAGACGATCTGGATGCAGCAGTTTAGGAATCAGATTCTTCAGCTGCTCTCTGAACTCTGGCGCCACGTCTGACAAAGTATAATAAAATGTTCAGGTGTTCTGTTAAACACCAAGTTTAAACAAAGAAGAATCCAAATGAACAGGATTTTACCGCAAAGTTGTCCCTCAAATGTGGGGCTGGTGGCAACCTTCAAGCCAGGGTGAGGCAACAAGAAGCAGGAAATTTTGGTGAAGCATGAATGTATGTGATCCCTCACTGTTTGCAGCTCCTCGTGTTGGGCCTCCTTAACCTTTAAAAATTAACAAAAGAGTAAAAGAAAAATCCCAAATGCAGAACTCAAGGGTTTAAGATACGCAGTTGTATGAAGATGAAGTCCAAATCAACAAATCACCTGCAAACGTTTATCCAGGAACTCGTTGCCCCCTTTAAACCCGTAGGTGTATTCATAGGGAAAACTCCAGTCCCTGATTAGAAACATCAGTGACTGTGGGAGGAAGGGAAAGATATTAAAAACATTTTTATGAAATACAATCAAACAGAGCGACACAATGCATTGTGGTTTAAGTACCTGAAAGGGTTTCTGAAAGATTTCATCCAAAGCAAGACGACCGTACTCCGTGAACAGCTGTGAGGAAGGTTGATAACAATTAATACAGATGCAAAAACATTTAAAATCGTATTATTTCAAAATTAAGCTAAAATAATCTTTCATATATTGAAATATTTAAACATGCTTCTGTAGCAGGTGATCTGATTCAAAATACATGAGAACACCATGAGGTTGACCCGAGTGTAAACAGACCTGTAGCTGCTGCAGGTCGTCCTCTTGAATGTTCTGTGACAGGTTGTAGATCTACAAAATAGAAACAATGTAAGTGTCCGTCATAAGAATATTGAGAAAACATCTGATCAATGATAATCTGAGTAGATCTGTCACCTGTATTGAGCTGGTCATGGTGCTGAGGGCAAAGATGGTGGCACAGTCCTTCACTGTGGACTGATCATCAAATGCTCCCTGAGTGTCCATCAACAGCACTGCCACCTAGAGCCAAGACAAAACAGGGTGGTTATAAGAGGGAACACTTCTATTTGTGTTTTAGGTGTTTTTAATTGGATATATCCTTCAGATTACAATCAACAAATCAACATAATATGAGAAAAAGACACTATAAATTACAGGTTATGTACAAATAATGCACAGCAGTGTTATTACATCAGTGTTGAGGACGAACTATCAACCTTCAACTTCAGCGTTATAGAATATTCAAGGTAATTGATCGTGTTCATGAGATATCGTGCTCAAGAGAAAAAATAACGCCTCTGCACTGGCGACAGCCAAGGTTTTGTTTGTGGACACACACACACAGTACATAAATTAAATGTGGGTACCTCTGTTCCGTCGCTCTTTGGGATGATGAAAACTTCACTCCACAGCTGGATGCCAGTTGTCTCTGGTTCTGATCCACCTCTCCAGGAAAATCCAGTCAGTGGCTCATCATCCTCACCCAGCCATTTGTCTTCCCCCTGAACAAAACAAATGACTTTTTAAAGACATGTCAGGGACGCATGACCTAAGTCTTTCACAGAAATCTAGATTCAAACCTTTAAACATGTCTTGTCGTGTAATGCCAAACAGCAGCAACAGGCATTTTACCCTGAAGTGCAAATGGAATTTTCCTCCGGTCTTCATGATTTACAACCCGATAAAACACACTTAGTGCACCACAGACCTCGGTTTATAGAGCTGGTTAGGTTTTAATTCACTGCACTGGTAAGATGAGAGAAAGATTAAAAGATATCCAACATTAAGTCTGGTGGTGGAACTACAGGACATTCAAGATATTTTCAATATCAATCAGATTTGTATCACACAGCAAATACAATGTTAAACACGGAGCTAGATTCCTACATACATAAAGAAAAACAAAGAGGCCTCCACTCCCTAAAAAGATAATGACTAAATTCTCGGCTCCACCTGTTCAGTGAACTAGTTAGTTCACATGTTCAACCTGGTGTTGATGTTGTATGTAAATTTTCACTTCAACCAAACTATTTTCCAGTTCCAGTTCACCACAAGAACAGGAAGTTTATTTGTCTAATCATACAATGTTAGAATTGTATTCTTTAAAAAAAACAATAAATGAATTATTAAAATAGCTGCAGGCGAAGTATCTGTATTAATCCACTAACTTTTTGCTTGAGTCACCATGGCGACATTTCACCATCAACACAGTGAATTTTCAGTGAGTGACCTTCTCTGAGAAACGTAGACAGATGTAATGTGTAGAAAAGTGAGATCATGTTTCAGCGTGACTCACCTTCCTGTACATGTAACGGATCATGAAGTCCAGCAGGAAGCTCTTTCCTTTTCTGAAGGCTCCGGCCACCGACAGCACCACCACATGTTTGTCTCGCACCTCTGGAGCCAACAGAATCTGAGCCAGAGCCTCTGTGTCCAACTCAAACGAGTGGTCGTCCTTAGACACTGTGACGATCTGAACTGGACCTGGTTGACCCCTCATCCTTCTGGAGGTTCTAGTCCCTGTGGAAAGACAAGACCAGTGTTGATATTGGAGGACAAAAACCATCAAGTTGATATTAACAACGGACCAAATCTAAGAGCTGCCTCTAAAGAGTATTATCATTTATTATATTTGTCTATTTTTGATTCTATTACTGACTAAGGGGACAATTCACAGTCCACACCTCTAAACAAATATTTATTTAATAACTCTATTGTGAAGTGACCATTACAACGAAACGAATGGACAAACATAATTCGGAGAAACTGTGGCATATCAAACTAGGCTGCATTTTACATTATTTATTAATCTGCCAATTCAGTTCTTAATGGAATATTCAATCTATAAAGATGACGTCTTCATATGTCTTATTTTGTGCCACCAACAGTACAAAAGGTAAAGATATTCAGTTTAATATCAGATATCAAAAATAATATAATATAATACTAATCTCAACATAGCTCTAGATGCACTGTGTCTTAAACTAATGACCAACAGGCATAATCCAATGGTCAATTGAAAACAGATTAATAGATCAGTAAACAACTAGAATGTGATAGCGTTCTACAACACTAAATGATTTGTTGCCCCTACCAAAGAAGTTCTATTTTCCTCAGTGTTTGTTTATTTGCAGCATTACACAAAAAACTACTTGACAGATTACCATGAAACTTGGTGTAAGGATGTGATATGTGCCAGGAAAGAACCCATTATATTTAGTTGCATATCAAGGAATGTTTTCAAACTTTATTTAACTTTATTTGGGGGTTTCTTTAACAATTTTGGGAAAGTCTCAACACACTGGACCTTTAAATGGGCTCTTCTCAGCCCTGGGGCCCTGGGCTCCATGCCACCAGCAAGTGGTGGGTGAAGTGTTTGAGTTCACAATATACCCTGAAACTCCAAAGGTGGTCTGTGGACTAAAACACTTCCCCTCCATTGGTGTAGCGGTGAGTAGACAATGAGTAGAGTAGAGAATGGTCATTTTTGGGTGAACTATGTCTTTAAGTAGATTTTGCACAATCCAGTTGACAAACACAACTAAAACAAACATGGGTGAAAAGATTAACTCCCTCTTTCCAGCTGTGAACTCACTTTGTTTCTCCAGCCTTTCTTTCCGCCTGTTTCTACACTCTGATCTTTGCCGGGGGACACAGTGCTCAGCTCTGTGTGCAGCTGACTGTGGGATGCTCTTGTGGCTGTCATGCTGCTTTGCCTACAGCTATTTTCAATCCTCAACACACTGCTTCATGACTCTATTGTGGCTCTGCGGTGTGCGGAGCACGTCCTCTCCCATGGTGAGGACAGGGCGCTGCTTTCACAACACTCCATCTGTGATTATGACATCTTCACCTCACTCTCTCCTGCCTCCACCGACACTACGCCTCAAAGGTGTGGCACTGATGGGCAGCATACCGGGCATTTCTCTGCGGTGAGTGTCGGACCTGAGCCGTGCAGCGAAAACCCCAAACTTTATTTTGTAACGTGTCCTTTCCTCAGAGGCACACGAGGTCAAATAAAGTGAATATTCAGACACACAGCTGGAACACTGTTTGGTTTTCAGCATCTGGCACTGACTGGGTGTTGTCTACGTTGGCAGCACTTGGACCAGCTAAGCTAAACACGTAACATGTTGTATTCATGCGTTTTAATAGCTTCATAGTAAACTTCGACAGCTAAATCCCATGACTATTAACGGCCCAGCTAACTAGCTAACAGCATGTACGTCTGCGTGTATTTAAAAGCAACCCGTAAAAACAACAACAATCGTCGTTAGCTGCAAAAAGAAAACTTTAAAGATGCTAACTGTGAATTAGCTTTAAATACCTTCTCGTATCGTTGGCGGCTGATTCCCGGTGTAGTGTTTCCTGCAGCGTCTTCTAACTCAACCACACGAGAGTCGACAAACAACCGACACACAAGTTTTTTTCTAAACTGGCGTGAAAACAACCATGAGAACTTTTTTCCAACGCGAAACTAGAAGACTTCCGGTGTCAGCCTGCGCAGTGCCTTCCGGGAAATGTGGTCTCAGCGGGCTTTCCTGTTCCTACTTCAATCTACGTAGGAAATACGTTACCCAGGGTGCAAATGGGTGACGTAGCTGTGGGAAATGTAGTTTTTATGTCACGTTACGAACGCGGAACCGTGGAAAAGGTGGAACCATCACGAGCGAGGTTTTTTTCATGGAAATAAATATGTGAAATATTTCTGTTGATGAAAAGGACATGGTTGCCTAGCAACAGGTTTTAGTTTGAGGATATAAAAATATTAAACAGACTTTATTTGTTCCTGCGGGCTGGGATATACCGCCCTCTAATGGTAAACATGTTATAAACAACTATATTCAATGAAATACACAAACCTATGGACATAAAAGAAAGACGCCCAGGTTCTGTGCATCTTTTTCTTTTTTTGAACAAGGTATTTTTATTTATTATATTATTATGATTACTTTTTATTTATTTATTCATATGTTTCTATATTTCTATATATATCTTAAAATTCCTTACACTTAAGTATTGCAAGTTACTTATTATTGCTGATGTCTTTTTGAGTCTTGCTGTTGTAATACTGCAAATTTCCTCCTTGTGGAACTAATGAAGGACTTCTTATCTTTATATCAACAATGCAAAAATAGAATTTCTAGAATAGAAAGCCAGACTATTTCATAGGAGACAAAAATGGAATCCATTACATGTATGATTTTTTATTATTTTTATTAGAATCTGTATTTAATCAGGCAGTCACATTGAGATCAAGATCTCTTTTCCAAGAGAGGCCTGAGAACAAGAAACATTCACAATCAGCCACAAGCATTCAAACACTGGCAACAACAAAACAACACCGTTAAAAATTAATTTTAAAAAAGTCACAAGATTCATAAAAAACATCACATAGTTAAGATAGTTCACCAAAAAATGAAAATGATCTACTCACCACTTTGCCAGAGGGGGGGGGGGGTGAAATGTTAGGAGTTTGGGGGTAAACAGCGTTGCAGCCAAATCCAATACAATTGAAGAAACTGGGCCCACTTCTTCAAATGTAAAAAAACAACAGAAAAAAACAGAAAATATCTTCATACTGCTCCTGTGGTTTCATCCAAGTGTCTGTAAATTAAACAAAACTGCATCATTTACATCGTGATTTCATACATTTTTGAGGTCACTTCTTTTGGTGAATAGTTTCAACAACTAATATAGAAAAAAACAGGCTCTTACCCAAAAGCCTCCTCACCTGTGTTCGACCTGAGCTGTAGTATCCATGGTGGTACTGTTGTGCTACCAAATTGACACTCATGTTGCCTGAACACAAGAACCATCTGATTTCATCCCCAAGAACAACATGGCAGATTTTATTTGTTAGATTACAAAATCCTGAACTTTTCAAAAAATACATTAACAAACAGAAATGCAGAGTATCTTCAAATGTAACATGGATTACATGGCAGTGAGTTCATCTTGCATTTTAATTAAAAAGTCCAATCAACTTCCTGATTGAAGACAGGGCAGCTTAGTTTACAAATTCATTTCCAGATTTTCAAGTTCACATACACTTAGAAGACATTCTGAGATTTAGTAAAATAAAACATAATGTACATAAAATCCACATTAGGGAACATGATGTGAGGAAGGACAGTGGGTGTAAAGGAATTAATTAGGATTAAAAGTAAAGCAGTGTAACTGAAAAGTGCTCACTTTTTATCTAATCTATTACAGGACCTACATTATAAATTAAATATTTTCAATTAAGTATTACACACAACTACTTTTAAAGAGACAACAGAACAGGCTCCAATAACAGAGTTAAAGGGCAAGAACATGTGACTGTGAAGTTGTTTTTCCCTCATAACGTAACCTCTATTAAAACATTCTTATAAAGAAGTTTACCACTTGGAAGAAATTGAGATGCATTGATTGGGAAGACATTAAGTGAGTTTGTATGTTGGTCAGTTTTGCCATAAAATAGCTACTTTAGTACTTTTCTTCTGTATAAATCTTTTTTTATTTTGGACGTATTTGAATCAAGATATCGAACTTGTCCACTAATTGGAACTAAGAACTACATCCACCCCTGAGAATGAACTTTTTGTTAAAAAATCACAGTGGAAACCGTAAAATGATTTATTGACTACACTATTAATACTTCCCAGTTTTAAAATGGAGTATGATGGTAAAGTCAGCTTCTGCACTGAAAGTGTCTGGATACAAGTAATGCCATCCACAGTTTTGTTAGTCCATCAGTAACGTTGATCTATGGTGTTATTTAACTACACAAAATACACATAGGGCAGTGTTGGTGTCTCAGGAAGAAGCAGCCAATTCACAAAACATCACAGCTGAACAAACATAAATCCCATTTATGTTGCTCTGCTGGAGTGTTTGCTTACAGAGGATTGAAGCATTGCATCCGTTGTGACCGTTACATGGGACATAGAATTAATATCCACCACCAGCCAGGTCCAGCAGTGACCCAGCTGCCTCCTGGGCCTCTGCATCCAGCTGAAGGATCTCCACCGTCTCCAGGTCCAGCTCGGTGTCACCAGGCAGCACCAGGTACTGGTACTGTTGAGACTGGTAGTAGTGTAACTCGATGTAGCCGCTGTCTGACAGGGGATCTTTTTCCATCTCCTCACAGATCTCCTCTTGCTGGTATTCCATCGTCTCCATGGTGACAAGCTCCTCGTGATCCGGTGTCAAAGGGCAAGGTGGGTTTTCACCAAAGGTTGGATCATCAGTGGTCAGGGTTGGGGGTGAGGGCATGGAGAGGAGGAGCGTGTGAGAAAGAGGATCTGCATAAAAAAAAAGAAAGATTAGTAATGTCAGATTACTGTTCAGTAATTTGGTCCAACAGAATCAATGGTAATCTGTTACTTCCAGATCGCACAAGAAGTTTAATAAAGAGAAAAGTCAGATATCAAGAATGGTGGCATGAAATAAATCACCAGTATTTCTTACATTTCCATAAAATTCCAATAACATGGTTTAATAAAAGCTAAGATTGTTCTTATTTACACAGCATTTGTTTGCTCAATATATGGTTATGAAGCTCTTTAAGATGTGATACGGACGTAGAGTTATCTGTCGAATTATATAGAATTATCTAAATATCTATCTAATGTTATTTGTGGTTTATGTGTTGGTGCCTTGCTGTAAGTAATACAATTTATGGGTACACATTGTCACTAAAGTGTTGTAAATATATTCTTGGGAAAGAGTGAGGCCTGATAGAACACAGGAGCGAAACAAACAAACAAGCAGAATATGAATCACAGGATTAGACATTAATATTAATGATGTGTTAAACAAGCACTTATCACACTCTGTCGGCGGGCGTGTGGTACAATATAGCTCATAAGCTTGGAGATAAAATGAGGGGACTTAAAGGACACTGAGGTGGCCTATTGCCGGGTTGTCATGGTAATAGAAGGTTGTTGCCATGACGACTGAACACAAACACAGGAACAATGTTGCACGCTGAGAAAAGCTGCAGAGACGAAGAAAAGCAGCAGGTAACGAAAGTGTCACAGAGCGCTGTTACTCTGTTGATTGAATATATAATGGACGAAAAGAAATTAATAAAGGGTCAAATATGAAAGTTCCTGTGTTGATAAAGTGACATAAGCCGACTGTGAGTCACTAACCTGAGATTTCAATATTGTCACATATTGCAGGCACCTCATAGTCAGCTCCTTCCAACCTACACACAACACGGCAAGAGGGTTAGTCAACTACATCAATGTTGATTGTTTTTGTGCTTAAAATACACCTCAGTAACAAAGCATCATTCAAATGTAAACACGTCAAGGAAAGATCAATCTGATCTGACGTATCTGATCAGAAAAGACAGGGAAAGAATTTGACTTCAAGGTTATGCTATTGAAACAGAGAGAGATGCCTCAGGGAAAGTCTTAGAAAGTCAAACTTTGTCTGACTGATTTCCCTTAACCCAAATATTTTCATTTCATTTTAATGTATTAAACACAATGAAAAGCAGCAAATTATCAAACTGTAGTCAAATTATCTTATTTTTGAAAAGTAATCAACTGATTGCATTGCCACTAATGATAATGGACCAATGTAAAAAACATGGCGGCCTCCGTAGAGAGGACCCACTCAATGTAAATATAAAGTATTTAAATATAAAGGACCTTTTCTGGGGTAAAGAAAACTACAATTCATATAATTTAGCTGAAACAAACTAGTGAAAACATCATGAGGATTATTCTACATTAGATTTCTGCCAATAGATCCCTTTCACCTGAATCTTACACACTGGACCTTTAAGATATTATGTAAATACAGTAAACCCAGAATTCATTGGTTCCAACTCACACATTCGCTGATGAATGATGCTGCTTTTATTTATTTATTATTAACACTGTAAAATGATCAATTGAACACTTGGGAGTTTGAGGCAGCTGCTCAGACCAAATCAAAAATGTGTACTTTTTTACTTTATTGAAGGAATTAAACATTATTAAATAAAACATGACCTGATGACAATCATTGTTTGTGGCACATACATGAACCATGTGACAATACTCACAGTGCAGGCTTGATGATCAGATTGCTGTTAGTGCTGTGATAACTGTGGGTCTTCCTAAGCACCTCGAGGAGCGCCGGCCGATACTCTGGACAAGCACACCACAGCGATCCCTTCCCCACTGACTGAAACAATAACACAAAGCTACTTAAAATCACCAAACCAGCAACAACACACACAGAACACTGAAACATTAGAACACATAACAACCTCAACACATGTGTAGTACAGTATAGTAATTTCCCTGCATTGCAGTTTCATGGCTGACTTTACTAAAGAAAATCTGGATTCAGTGTGTTGCTAAAGGACATTTTAGTAAGTTTGATGCTTTCAGGTATTTATTCTTGAACATCTTCTGTAAGGAGCTCAATCTCTTTCTCTTTCTACATGACTTTGTTGCTCTTAATGTGCAAATATGTCCTCACCTGACTCTTGTCCCTCTGAATGCGACGGAAGCTCTTGCTCAGCGACAGGTTGTGTCTCACAGAGTTCCTCCAGCCTCCAGTGGCTGTCCTGTAGTAGGGGAAATTGTTTACAATCCATTCGTAGATGTCCTTTACTGGAAGTCTCTTGTCTGGAGAGTCTTCTATTGCCATGAAAATCAAACTACTGAAGGAGTATGGCGGCTTGGACGAGGCAGGAGGAGGAGGGTGGGTAGGTGTGGAGGCTTCTAGCTGAGGCACTGGTGTCATTTTGGGAAGGGGCTGCAGTGGCAGCAGGTTGCCTCTCTGATGCAGCCAGCTGAGGCAGGTCAGGTCATCCTGGTCAGATATGTTTGTAGGGCTGAGGCCCTCTGTGTTTTGTCTTTCGAGGCACTGAGATGCTGTGCAGTGTGAGAGAGGGGAAGAGGAGTGAATGGACTCAGCTGTCGCTGGAGAAAGTGAGATGGGGGACGGGGGGAAAGAAATAGGTGAAAGCGGGAGTGAAATCTGGCTGCTGCAGGAGGTCTGCAGCGGCGAGGAGGAGAAAGACAGGGACCCTCCAAAGGTGGTGGGACACAGGGATGAGGGGGGCAGTGTTTGAGAGCTATTCTCCATCTCTCTCCCAGGAGGAAACTTCCAGGGTCATTCAGCTGAACCCTAAAACATGAGAGAAATGAATAAAAGTTACTGCTGCAAGGACTTCAGTCAAATCAGTTTTATTTCCAAAGTCTGCACACCTACAATCACGAATCTGCCTCAGAGGGCTTAACAAGTATGTAGTATAAAGGAAAAGTATAAAATAGAATGGAATGGGCAAAACATTAAACATAATATCAAATAAAAATAAAAATTCAGAAAATATGTGTAATATACACCTTTCACTACAGACAGAAATATATATTTTTAAAGAAATGCACTTTAATAAAGTGAAGTGGCACAAGATGAATACATGAGGATGTATATACTGTATTTGTGTAGGAGGTATTGATATAGACACCCCCCCACACACACATACAGGGTTGAGGGTGAGGGTATGTATATGTATATACACTGTATATAAATGATATGTGCTATACATAAATGAGTATAATTTCACTTTAGTATACAGAATAGCAGTATACAGATTAAATATATATAGTATAACTATGTAAAGATATATGTATATATATATAAGGCACAAACAATATGATCTGAATAGAAAAATGGTTTAACAAACGTGTGCATTTCACAATAAGAGTCAGACATACGGAATGATAATTTGCATAAGCGTTTGTATAATTTAACATTAATCCAAAACTTTAAAAAGTATTATTTGAGACTAGAACGAGGTGGAGAGAGAAGCCTTGAGTAAAATGTTATCTATCTGTTCCCCTCAGCTGAGCCTCCTCTAGAAAAGGTTCAGAGTCCAGTAGATGTTCACTGTTCCAGGAGCAGCTCCTGTTCTCTCCTGCTAAACGCGCTCGGGTCACTTACGTCTATCGAGTAAAGGCTTTCAAACACCACAACGACCGGCTCCGTCAAAGTTCTGTCAGGTTTCTACAACGCTGAGAGGGTTTGTGTGTGACACCACATGGCTTCACAGAGCAGTTCAGAGGCAAATGGCGGAACAATATAAAGTTTCATTTAGTCCAGAAAGCCGCCTTTTCTCCCCCCACAGGTGAGAGCCTCGGTGACTCTGCTGCTGCAAACAAAAGCCGAACATCAAGCAGCTCCTCACCAGATTACAGGAGGGTTCCAGCGGGATCCAGATTCAAGTCCACAAACTCGTCTCTGTAGAGGTAAAGGACAGATGGAGGAGTCAAACCGGAGTCCGGGTCAAACAGCGCTGTCTCCTCGCTCTGTTGCCGTCCGTGGTTCCCATGGAAACGAAAAGGACGCTTTGCGGGGTGCGCGCTCCCAGGAAGGCAGGCACGCTCCCGCTCCTAGTGCACAGTGGAGCCACAGCCCAGAGAGTGATGGGGAAATACAGCCAGGGTAGAGAAGTAATCAGAGTACTGACTTGGTGAGTAGTACCGACAAGAGAGAGTATGTGTGAAATACTTAGTGTTTTGAAGTATATTCTGTTTCACATGGAACTCCTGTATTCAAACAGAAAACAGTATACTTGACAGCTTTGGTTAATGCTGATTCAGATTATACATTTAAAATATAATGGATTATTGTGTATTATTATAGATTAAGCTACTTCATAAAGTATACATGACCTTCACCTTAATTTGCTGCAACATTTAAATAATAGACACAAATTTATCAATTATTATAATCCCAAAATGAATTATGTTTATATTGGCAAAGTGATTACTGCTTTTATTCTTGGTATTTGACAGTGATACTTATTTACATTTATTTAAGGAATCATTTTTGAATGCATTATTTTCAATATCACAAGCAGCAATGCAATATCGTCATCCCTGTCTTTGTTATATATTACATAATTGTACTATTATTGGTATTTTTGTGTTGAATTAAGAATAAGAAAAAAAATGGCACAATTTGGCTCTAAAATGTCAAGGAGTGAACATTAGTTCCCACAAATTGGCAATTTGAATATTACATGAATATCTAAAAAAAAAACACACTGTAAATCAAATAAATTCTGAGAATCTGTGGCAACGTCTTTACAAATCAAATCTTATTCACTGAAATAAATCCATATTTATCCGAAAGAAATAAATCAGATACAACAAACACAGGATTATGTTCCTTCCAAAAAAGTCTCAAAGTGTTTACGCAACACTAAATATATTTATTTTTTCCTACAAAAAATCCAAACATGGTCATGCTTTGTCAAATGTAGATAAATAAAATCCAGGTTTCACAAGAGGGGAGGTAACGCAGCAACATTACCGTACCAGAAAAACTGTACTGGAATCACACAATGCATGTTTGTGTCTGTGGGGGGTGTAAATACTGGAAAGTATGTTAAGAGACTGTATAAAATCAAACCTAAATTGATTCTATATCATGAAAGAAATGTCATTGAAAGCCCTTGTGTTTAAAGTTAAGTGGCCAAAATAAGCATTTGTTGGTGTTACAATGCACTCACAAAAGAAAAAAACTGTCTTCCATTGAAACATTTTCTGTCAAACTTTCTTGTTGAATCAATGAAACGATCTATGGACATGTCCGTCTGACAAGCTGTCCACACGCTGCAGCTCAACACTGTACATACATGTTTTGAGTTAACTGACAAACAGAGTGTATAAAGGTCAGCGTACAAACACTCAACAACCAATTTTTGGGTCCAGTACACATGGACTTCAGGTTATTAAATACCTCATGGTCACCTGACCAAGTGAGAGGTTAACCAGTAAATAATGATTGGCTGAAAGACTGCAGTGGCCACAGTGATATAAAGGCGGAACTGGGGTTTGGCACTTGGTCCAGTTCCCATGGTGTCCGAGGAGATAGAGGGAAGGATCTTCATTTTCAGAGATCGAACCTGCGGAGATAGTAAAGTAAAATCAGAGATTCAGACTGATATAATAATATATATATATATAAATAACAAAGAAGTTAAAAAGCTGACTCATTTACAGGAAAAGTCTTCAATTCAGTCTGTTGTCAGGAGTTACATGAGAAGACTGACACCACTCTCATGTCTCATGCTTAGCTTAGCATAAAGACTGAAAGCAGGGGGAAACAGCTAAGCAGCAGCTACCTGCAGCTTCATGTTTACTATGACATGAGCGGTGCTTGAAGAAAATGCAATTACTAATCAAATAATACATATTATTAATTTTCAGCAAATAAGCACATGGATTAATGTATGATACATTATTAACAGAACATGTCAAAAAGTATTTTTTTAAAGTTGTGTCCTTTCTTTGGCAATTCGATTTAATTTGTTACTGAGTCTGTTTTTCAACTTGAAATTGTGGCATTTATGAAGTTATTCACTGCTTCAGTGTTTTAGCAACTAATCGGATTTAATGTAATAATAAAAATCACAACACTAGTGAATAATAGTAAAAGCTGATGCATTTTGGTGTTGCAAAAGACATCGTCAGTGTTTATATCTCACTTAGTTTACACACTGTATTACATTTGACACAAAGGTATTGAGTTAAGTTTTGTGTGTACATGTTCTCTTTTGTTAGTGTGTTCTTTTCTTAAGTATTCAATTTTCAAACACCCTGAGAAAGGACAATTTAAATGGGAAAGAAAATACCATCGAAATAAGTAGATATCTAACCTACATAATATGGAATAGAACTAATTCTATTTATGAAGACCACCAGAACATTTTCTAAACTATAATATCCTACAGGACATACAAAACATAAAATGGGTACATATTAAACTTCAAACTAATGTTCACTTTAAAGTATTAAAAGTATTTAAAGCATAAAAATCAGTTGGGTTTAAATGTAGATGATGACATCAATCCGAACTCAAAGTACTTACTATGAAGAACATGAGGGCACAAGAGGACCAGGCAAGGGCCACATAATATCCATCACTTCCAAACAGTAAGCCACACAACACTGTGAAGATCATCCTGGAGGAGAGACATAAACAATCATTCACATTGTTGACATGGCTTTAGTTTCAAACGTCCTCATTTACAAACCTACATGTACACCCCTGAGCTGAATCCATATCACGTTGTGTAACTCTTTCATTCAGCCTTGATCTGTTCTTTGTCAATGATGAGTTATATATTAATTAGGAAATATTTGCATTTGCGTTCTATTTACCCGACATATTTGTATCCACTGTAGGCGATGAGGTCAAAGGTTGACAGGTCGCTGTGTACTGTCAGCAGGTACAAACTCAGCAGCATCACCAACACCTCAATGATGATCCACACGAGGGCAGTGCTGGCACACAGCCCAAGAACCTCTGGACTGAACCTTCACACGAGGACAACACACACTGCTTGTTTAACTGATTTCAAACATTTGTTTTGAGTCATAATATAAACAAGATGAGGAGGAATTACTCACCGTTTCTGAATTCCGAGGGCCATTCCAGCAAGTAAAATGTAGGTAATGAAAGCCATTGCTAAAAGACAAAAAAAATTATACAAATATATTCAGCGATCTAAAACTAAAATAACCTTGTGTTAAGAAATATGTTTTTACAGAAAACTTACTTGGGATGTACAGATCAGGGGCATTCACATCTTGCCTTGGAGTCAGTGGAGTGTCCCGATGGTATCGAACTTCCCAGTCCTACAGCAACCACACAAATACAGTATGAGACAGACAGCAGTGAGTGAGACAGAGTCCAACACAGTTACATGCAATTCAAGCTCGGTGCTATTTTGTGTTTATTTGGACAGAAGGTCCGTGTCAAACAGGATTAAGATTCTGTATATATGTATGCATATTAGGTTTTGACTACACAGCTGATACTTCAGGGTTGGACGATACACTTCTTGTCAATTGTCAAAGCATTACAGGTCCATGTTTTACAGCAGAAAATGTCAAACACCAGTGCTGTTCTTGAGAACACAACCCAAACATTATGTCCTGCAAATCAGCGCACGGTAAATAAGTGAAGCCATTCAACACGGCTGTGAATGTATTCAGTTGGAGATGTGTTGTCTGACAGGGAGTTTTCAAAAGTCATCATTCAAGATGTGTAATTTTGAAACTGCAGCAGTCATGGTATCACCTCCATCAGGATGTGAAAACAAAAGGAAAGCTGAACCTTATTTACACAACACAGCAATAACAGAAAAAAGCACACTACAGCAGATTTGTCAGATGTTAACTCATCTGTGAACTGCACTTTGTTTATTCCACAATAGTTAAAGTGAAATAGGATGCCACCGATCTGATCTGAGATCTGACTTACAAATATTTTTTTCTGGAAATTTCCCTGCGTGTCATTATTAAGCATGTTGCACAAGTATTCAGTGATACTAGATGTCCCCACAATGCCACTATATGTCAAATCATCAAATACCAGTTCAGTAAACATCCTCCATTAGGGTAAATACATAATAAGGAGTATTTAGGGTCAAACGTTAAAATCTATGTGACCCTGTTCTTGTAAGGAGTTAACACTGTGTGGTTTCTACATTATCAGGGCACAGAATGTTTGTTGATTTACAATCTCGACAGTTAAAGTTAAGAGTGTGGGAATTAACTGCGCTTTATACTATCACTAGAAATCACAGCATTACTATGTTCACACGTGAAGCTGAAATCTTGTTTGAATTGTTGGATTGTGATAAGTGGTTAAAAATATGATACAAGATAAAATTATCAGTCATTATTTAACTTTTTAAAATGTTTTCTGTTGTCCCGTACACTGACATGGGACAAAGTCTGACAGAAGGAGTGGTGTTAGATTACCTGGTGTGTGTAAGGGAACAGGAGGATCATAAGTTTCTTCAGTACGTATCTGGTATCAACAGCAAAGAAGTATTTCAGCTTGTTCACAGACATGAATCTGCTGATCTGCAAAGGAAGCAAAAACATCGACTTGAAAAGTGAGAAGCGACAGTCTGCCAACGTTATTAAAACACTTGAGTCATAGTCATTTCTAAAGAAGGGTGTCTGTGCGCTCAGGATTATGTATCACTTTGACTTGACACCCAGTCTATGTATTCTGAACAACCTGCATATAAAAACTGCCAAACAAGTAGAACAGCATCACTATTGTTTATCTGCCACCCACGAGTGATGCATTCATTTGAGGTTAAAGAGAATCAGCTTGATTGAAATCTTGTCCTCAGAAAAGGTGAAAACCATTATACAGGTACGTTTTAGCTGTCAAAGAGGCTCTGGATGTATTTAATATCAGGGACAGGATCATTAAAAAGAAGCTGCTGCAACAACAAAAGATAGAGACTGTCAGTGAAGAACACATCTGCCTAAAATGACCCCTGCATGCACTGCTGTATTTCAGACGACTCTAAAATCAGGTTTGAACCTAATATGTTATCACACATTAAGATGAAAAGACCTGAGCTGGGTCTGGATGTACCAACACAACCATTGTGAAACTTGCCCAGAATGCAGCTACAGGTGTATTTAAACCTGTATATACTACAATTAACTTATAATTAAGTTTAGTTTTCCAATTTAGGCCTTGTCATTATAAAAGGTTAATGGTTTAACACCACCAGACCTCATTCAAGTGCATACAGTACAGTATATCATATGAATATCATGCTTGTCCCTCACCTCTTTGTTTACCATATCCTTTCCTGTGTTGGCTAAGGAGGAACCGTACATCATGGCAGCATTGGCCATTGGGTCGGCAAACAGGTTGTTCACTGCAGCATCTCCTTGCATGTCATTTGAGGGTCCTCCCATATTGTACCCCGGAGTGTAGTATGCCTGACTGTTCATGGCTGGTGCTCCAGAGCTGGTGTCCTCAAACAGGACAGAATCTCCTGTTGGAGGAGCTGTACGAGCTCTCTGTTTAGCTGCAGAAAAAATGGTGGAGTTACTAATTGTGCACAATTATCCAGAATATCAAATACAAACATGTATTTAAATCTACCCTAACTGGTTATTATGCTAATCCTATCAGTTAAGATATATCATGTGATAGTGTGACAACTAAGCTAACATACAAAGATGCTCACTTTTGTTTAACACCATTGTAAAGAATCAGGAATGTGATGTCACTTCTGATAATTAATGATATCTCAGCAACAACTGAAAAAGCAAAGACCAACCATCTGTACGTCTTGATGTCTTAACTATTGTATTCACTCATGTTGCTGTTATTTTTCATATTAAGGACAACATACTATCTGTGTGAAAATGGAGCTGGACAGATAATATGAGAACCATTTCTCTTTGACCCACATTAAGGTAGTTACAACTAGTTAGTTGTAAGCCCTAGACAAATGCAATGGGGGGTCCAATGCTTTCTTGTATGACAAAATCCGCCGACTTACCCTAATGAAGCTCATGCAGCTCTCAAAGATTATACATTTTCAATTGTTGGGCAAAATCTTGCAGAAGAGGGTTAAGTGATATTTTGGACGGATGGACTGAACAGGTTTTTTCTTTGGATTATCTCACCCTGCTGTGAAAATGCATCAGCCATAAGGGCACACGTCATTTTTAGTTGTTTTGATTCTCACAAAGGCGTCTGATTGGTCCTATTTTCAATCTGGAGCCTGACACTGACCCAAAACATACAACCAGAGTCATGAAGAGCTTCAGTATCTTCAGTGACAAGAACAAGGAGTCCCCCAGCATGTTGGTCTGGCCATACAGAGCCCTGATCTCAACACTAACTATTACTACTGCACAGTTCTGTAGATCAGACGTGACAACACTCATGTAGGTAAGATTTGCTGAATCACTGTATGAGTCTGTTATTACTGGTATCTGCTTAACTGGGATGTTTTAATGAAGCATCACCAATCAAATGACAACACTGGCTGAGTGTATTTCTCTGTGTGACTCCAGCTTCAGGGGGGAAATAGGAAGTAGCTACTATCAGTGGATTGTTTGCAAAACTTTTCACCAACGTTAACAGATGTATCACTGGTGATTCATCTGAACACTTACTTGCTCGGTACCCATGATGTGGCAAATCCATTGTAACCTTCGCTGACGTTAGCTTCAAGCAGAAAAAAAACAGTGACACGTTAGCGACAGCTCAGCTTATTCTTCTCATGCTAGGCTAACTAAATGTAGCTCGGTGGTGCGGCATCACAGCTAACACTAATCTGACACCAGCTCACATCACTCTTATGTCAAGTCTTGCTAGCTAACAAGCTAACCTTGTAAACTTATTCAACGGGGACCACTGTAGCTGCCAGTTAACGCTAGCTAACACGGCGAGAAAGCTAACTTATCAACGTGATATATTTTTAGCTGAAGCTCCGCGTGTAATGACAGACGACATGCAAGCGTCAAAGAGAAGCGATGTAAATGTGAACACGGCTCGTTTAAAGACAAATACGTGCAGATTGTAAAGAGACTACCGAGGATAGAGGAGCTCTTACCTACACAGCTAACGTTGGTAGCTAGCTACGTGGCTATCAGGCTGCTGGGGCTGATCCCACCCATCCGCTGCAGTGGGTTGACTTCACTGTGCCTGCGTGGCACAAACCATGTTAGTGTTAATACACAGAGAGCTCAGACACACAGAGAGACTTCAGTTTTAACACCAGTGCTGCACTGTGTCACTTCTCTGTTAACAGATGTATTTCAGCTGTCAGAGGCCACAACTTCTTCTAATTCATCTGTGTGCAGAAATGAAAAGATCTACTGAAGTAACTGAAGACAATCATTGCAGGAAATAAACAGAGCATACAGACAATATGATGCATTACTAGAGTTGGAATAAATGAGCCCTCGGTTTGCTTTTTAAAGTTCATTGACTCTTCGCTCAATTAAATCTACATTTTTATCAAGATGGCGTACGGATCTGGGCCACTTCAGGCACAGGATGAGAGCTTCTGGCCTTATTGTGGACTGGATAGAATGGATGTGAGCCTAAAGTGCCCAAGAGAGTTCAACGCACTGCAAATCAAGGAATCACATGCAAATAGAAAAGAACAAGTGCAAATTAAGAAAACAGCTTCATCATTTGATGACACATGCGCTGCAACTAAATTGATATAGTATATAGTATGTCAGTATGACCTCAATAAGTCATGACTAAGACAACCAGTTCAGTCCTGGTGCAGTGATGTTGAAAACTCTTCTGCTCAATCGCACTAAGATAATTTGCCTAATGTACCTAACAGGGAATTGTCAAGACATGAACTGCAACACCCACTAAACCAAATAAATTCAAGTGAATGTGGCATCAGGATGCAGTTAAGATGGCATGTGTGGGAGTTGAGTGTGTGGGTGTTGTGGGTGTGGATGAAGATTTTTAGGATGAGTAAACTGCAATGGAATCCAACCTATTAAGTGCAAACTCTAAAAAGAATGAGGGGAAAATATTGAGTAAGACAAAAAATACATGGGGTAAAAACAAAAGTGAAGTAAACACAAAAACAACTTAAGCTATAAGTAGTATGTAAAGCATGTTAATATACATTAACCTAATAATAATTTCATTCAGCAAAATAGGAATATGTGTCGAGCAGATTTTTTCTTTATTTAATATAAAAGACAGAATAGGTGTATCAGGTAGGTACCACCAGAGAAAAAAATGGTTGTCAACATGTTGCGGCATGTCACAATTAGAGACACAGACAGTGACATCTTTGAATTCCTGAAGCTTGAGTCATCTCACACTCACCTTTATCCCAGATTCCCTTTAAACCATCTGGCATGTGTATAGTTACAGGGTGTGATATTTGAGACTCTGCACTTCAATGTCTCAATGAGCAGCAGGTATTGCCATTGTAAAATTACATATAGTTTCAGTTTTTGTTCACTGTGTGTATTCTCATTCATAGATAATATGGAAACCAAAAGTACAGTGTCTAAAATAGGTAATTGATCTGCATTGTTTTTATCACGTTTAACTCCCAAACTGAGACTTTTTGGGGTTGACTTTACAATTAACTTGAGGATTATTGACAATCCATATTCCCAGGAGTAACATTCACAGTAACATGAGACATTGGTGCAACAGTCAGCAGCCAGGAGAAACCAGCCTTTGCCGGGAACTGTGTCCCCAGGGACTGCAAGGTCAGCAGCCGTTGTTGGACTAATCCTACCAAATCTACAGCATGCTTTTTTTTGAATCTTTACTAGGAGCTATATTGTGCTTGCAAGTAAAAAATCAGTCATTGGAACGGATGGTGAATTAAATGAGCAGCTTTGTGGAAATTGCCTGACTCATCTCCACAGGCATGCGTGCACATTGATGTGGTTTGCAAAGTGAGAGTGGCTGCCAAACCCCTAAACACAATTAGGTGCATGCACCCAACTTTGGCTAAACTTTATGATCCATTTCGTAACTGTAGTGTAAACTTCACACAACTTTGAAACTGATTCATATTGAAGATATTTTCATGTTGAGTAACAGTATTAATTTTCATCAGACTTTACAGCTATAATGAATTAAATAGTTTTATGTTAAAATGGTAATGGGGAACATTTTTCTTAAATAGCTACACTTTAATATAATATTGAATATCACTTTCACTAATTTCACATTAATATTAGCACATAGAAGGGTACTATATAGATACAGTAAAATACACTTGTTTTCATTATAGCAAGATAAGATCCAACATCAATATGAAAACTAGCAATTGTAAGTTGACCTAAAAATAATAAATTCTCTTAATTTACATGAAATTAATTATAAAAGATCATTTTAAAGTAAAATATAATATAAAGTGACATTTTCAACAGTAACAAACCCTTTTAATACTAGTGATCCAATTTCTATTAGCTGGTGGAAATTATAATAATTGCATCCAAAATGCAAATTTTTTTGTAAACACAATAAAAAAGTAAGGTCACTGCCAGTGTGAGCAGGAAGCTGTAGTAATATTTCCACCAGTGAAAACAGAAGTGTGAACCGGGGTGAGACCATGAGGTGAGGCTGTGCGAGGAACCCCTTGTGTTACTCTCAGGAGGAAACTCTCACCAAATATGGTCATTGACGTCATGAGGCACGTGGTCTCATTCGTGAGAGATTCCAGACAGCACTATTTCCCGTAATGACAGAGGGGCGTGGCAAAACTACGATCACACTTTAAGAGTTTACAGATTCACGATCGTCTCCAGACTCTGGCTTCAAGACGCGTGACTCACGAAGAGACGACGATCGCAAAGTGGTTTTGGGAGTTTTGAGCCCGATTTGAAACGAAGGCGAGGCCATTTCTTCTTCCTCGTCCCCCCGTGAGGACGAAGCCGTTTGGACTCTACCGGTTTACCGCAAGAAGGTGGGCTTGCCCGGAGTTTGAATTGACACGCGAGACTCAACCAGAAAGTAATTTTTTGAAAGGCTCGAAGGGTTGATTATCCACAGCCGGGATCGATTTTATCCTCATCTCACAGGAGAGGGTCTAACAGAGAGGATGTATCGAAACTTTGGGAACGAGGGACGAGGCAACCCGACGTACACTGGCTCTGAGTCCAACACTGGATCCCTGGGAGGCAGCAGCACCTCCACCACTCAGGAGCAGGTACCTCGATTCAACCAGGAGACACTTCACATGAATGAAAACTGAAACACTTTTTAAAAAGATGGGAACTTTAAGTTAGATTAACACTGTACACAATATATATGTGTATATACTGTTAACTGATCACTTTCGTGTATTGTGTGTAGTTAGTATACTATTTATGTGTAGTAACAAGTTTATATTAACATTATCATGATCATCTTCATAAAGTTTGATTTGTGCTGTCTTTACAGAAGTTTGTCTTGACAAGCAGCGGTCAGTTCGTCCCAAGCCTCAATGCCATCACAACCAGCCAGGACCTCCAGTGGCTGGTCCAGCCCTCACTCATGCATCCACCGGGCCCTTCAAGATCACCAGTGCCTCCTTACCCAACCCTGTCAGGGGCACGGCCCCTGGGTCCAGCACCTTCCCATTCCCACCTTCTCAGGCCGGGGGTCATTAGAGCTGCTGCCAACCCTATGGCTTCGACGAGGCGCAGGACCGATGAACATGTGAGAAAGTAGTTAGATAATATAGTCTGAAACTTAACGAGTAATATGAAAAACCAATAACACATTCTGAAGTGAAAAAGGTGATTATGAATTTTTGTTTCTTCTGTTTAAAAAATGAGAATTGTCTATGACAGAATATAAAAGGGCTTTTTCACTAAGGGGAACAGATATGAAGTTGTGGAGAGAAGCTCAGTCATTGTGTAAGTGGTGTTTGATATCTTGTCATGCCGTGTGACACTAGTGTGTCGTTTTTTTTATACTTGTACATCAGATTAACAACTTTTGGAATAAGAAGATTATGGTTATTTAATACCTCATTTAAATTATTCATTTTGACTCCAGAGGCGAATGCACCATGTTTGTGTTCTTTTTCTTTGTTTACCTAGAGTCGATGTTGACTCAGTAAAACGATCACCTGTGATCTGTTTGCAACGATCTGCTTTGTGTGAGCAGAGCAGTGTTACGTGTCAAAGGAGGATAACAGGGTGAAATATGACCCAATTCAACACCTCAACAAAGATCATTTTTTGGTTTCATCAGACACATGTTGGCACACATCCCTCTTGTAGTCTTCCTGGAGAGGTAATTTCATGGTACAGGAAGTGGATTGTCATGTGACTCACAGGGGCAAGTCATTTTCGGTGACTCACAGCCGAGTCACCGCTGAAGTGTGAGCGTGACTCATCATCTCAGAAGGGCGGGAAATATGGGATGAGTGGTAATTATTCAGTAGGCCGCTGGATGAAGTCAGAGTTAGGGTGTTACATGGGCACAAAGGCTCAGACATTTCAAAACCTTTCATCCGCCATGACTGTGGTGACTCAGAGCACACACATGGTGGTAGTATTTCTCCTTTGTCATGTGGCCTGTGGTGGACTCTCAACATGTCTCACCGTATATTTGATATTTTGAGTTTAGGCTACACAATCCAACTTAAAACATGACATTTGGCCTTGAGTTTATCTTTCATTTCACTGTGTCAGAATAACGTGCTCAATGTATTTTTCTCTTTCTCATCAAAGTTATCCCAGGAAGAGTTGGACAGACGCAGAGTAAGAAGGGAGCGGAATAAACTGGCTGCAGCAAAATGTCGTAATCGCCGAAGGGAGCTCACGGACTCGCTGCAATATGTGAGTGAACATTGTACAAAATGTCATAACATTAAAACCTGAGAGAGAAGCTATTGGTCTTTGTAAGCCATGAGCAAATTTAAATGTGTCTGTCTTTCTCTGTTTTCCCCTGCTGCAGGAGACTGACCAGCTGGAAGATGAAAAGTCCCTTTTACAGAAGGAAATAGCTGAGTTACAAAAGCAGAAAGAAAAGCTTGAGCTGGTTCTGGAAGCTCATCGTCCCATCTGTAAGATAGACTCTGATTCAGATTCTGACCCGGGTCCATCAACTTCTGCTTTGGCAGGCATCAAAATAGAGCCAAAAGACTTCAGCAGACCTGCAATTCAATTTTCAATGAAGACGGAGAAACCCAAACCAAAGATAACCATCCCCACCAAGCCTGTCGCATCATCTGCCTCTGCTGTTGTCACTGAATCCGAATCCCTCCACACCCCGGTCCTCACATCAACTCCCTCACTAACTCCGTTCACAGCCGCTATGGTCTTCACCTATCCCTCTGGCTCCACGGACACCAACGCCTCCATCGCATCCCATGCTGCATCACTTCAAGGAAATGTCCATCAGCCTCATGCCCGGCAGCCCTGTGGGGTAGCTCATCGACGCAGCAGCAGCAGCGGCGACCAATCGGACCACTCTCTGCACTCCCCGACCATCCTCACACTGTAATTGGCAACACCGTGATCCCGACAAAACACTAGTGTGTGTGTGTTTGTGTGTGTGTGTGTGTCACAAGAAGGATCTCTGGGGAACCTGACACAAATGAAAATGATGATTATGATAACCAACTTAGTACATCTGCTTCATTTCATCTCTTTAGAAAGTTGACTCTATACTTCGATAACATGCAATTTAGCGGCATTAACAGGATATGAATGTTACACTCTTTTTTAGATTT